AAAAGTCTTTCTTGTTCATTTTCTTTTCCTTTGACATTGTTGTCTTACCATTGATTTGGTAAGCAACCCTATCTTTGGATGTAAACGGGACGGGCGTGGGTCATCGTATAACCATGATTAGTAATGTTGCAAGGTATCTTAGCATTCTTTTTGAGGGACTAAGATCATTTGTAAGGTAACTTAGATAGCGTCATCGAGGGACTATGATCTTATATTTACTTGTTTTTTCTAAGATACCTTACATGCGTAATATGACCATTTTGTATAAGGCAACCAAGTGGGATGATCCTAGGGGTTCTAGTGTGCAAGTGTATTATTTTCATGCTTGTTTTTGTCTTGAATTGGGGTTTTCTAAGTGTTGATTTTAGTCTTTCCATACAAACCCTAATTACTAGCATTTGTATATAAAAGCGATAAATTGTGGAATTTTAAAGTTACTACGCTATTACAACATTTGTGGGGAGAGGGATATACAAATTGAATGGGGATTGCAAGAATGTAGACCTAATTAATCTATTACAACCAGATTGAATTTGATATTAATGTACAAGAAATTAAATGGATATAATGTACAAAATAAATAAATGTACAAAATGTAAAATGTGAAGTAAATGGATATTTGTTTGGATTTTTTAGAGAAAAGGATTTTGTCTTAACCTAATTAATTAAAGAAAATAATTAATTAAACTTAAATTTATTAAGAAAAGATTTTAAATAAAACCCTAGTTCTATTAATTGATTAAAAGAAAATAAGTTTAAGAAAAGTGCTTTTTGGTATTTTTGTCTTGAAAATATTTATAGTATTATAAAATATTTTTAGTCTTTTTTCATATAAAAAATAATATATTTTAAATGGTATGAAAAATAAATAAATAAAATATAGTATTAATTAAATTTACAAGACTAGTTAATAAAATAAATAAAGTATGGTTGAATAAAAATATTTTTTATGAGAAAAATAAAATAAATTAAGTTAAAAATAAAAATCTAATTTTTGTATTTTTTAATATTAGGAAAAATGATTAAGAAAATATAAATGAAATAAATAAAAATAAAAAAATAAAAAAAAACAAAGTCGGGCCAGGGGGCGCAAACAGCTTGCAGGGGGTTAGTTAGAAAAAAAACAAAATGAACAGGCCCAAGAAGGCCCAGCGTGTCAAAAAAAGAAAAATCAGAAAACAAGAAAAATGTGAAAAATCCAAAAGGGTACCACTAGGGCTCGAATCCAGGTCCCAAAGGTTACAGGCGTGCGCTTCTACCACTGGGGTGACTATACATTCGTTAACATAAGCAAAACAATAAATATACAAGGCAAAACGCGCCCTGAAGACTTCATCTTCAACCTCCAGCCAGACCAACTGTAACTTGCTCATTTCTCATCAAAAATGAAAACTGTAAACATGAAACTTGTAGCAAATTTTCTCACAGTTTTAGAAATGTAAAGCATTAAAACTATAGATCAAAGATAAGCATGAATTTTAATGGCCCTAATCTAAACCCTAAAAATCTCAGAAATTTCAGTTTCAAAATTCTCTAAGCTCAAGCAAAATTAATGGAAACTATGGACATGGTTAGCTTCAGGGCAATGATATCTACATGTTTTGTTCACAAATAAACTATTGATGATGCCTGTATGAAGAGTTCCAAGTTGATAAAACTTACCTCAAAATTGGAAATCGTGTTGAGTTTGAGCTTGTTTCAAGTGATGGTGATGATCAGGTTAGCTTCCTTGAGGTCCTAGGAAGCTAATGTAATGGTTTACTTGAGTTGAGAGTGGCTGAAATGGCCTGGAGAAGTCAAGTTGCAGACTCTTTTTTGGTTATGGAGGTTATGGTAAATGGTGTTACAGTTCTGGAATAAGTATGAAGATGAGTTGTATTTGAGGTAAGGAAGCTTTAGGAATGAATTTGAGGGAAAACACACGAGGGAAATGAGAGATACAAGTTTAAGGTCAGAACTGTGTACCAATGGAGTTTTTTGTGCAATTTCTGGCTAGAGGGAATTTGGGAGTGTTTCAGGATGCTAAAAATCGTCCTTTAGCTCACAAATAGTGACTCTATTTATAAGCAACAAGTTTGGAATGCTCTAGTTGATCAGAATTCAAATTTACATGTTTTAGTTCAACATGTGATTTTTTGACAAAACAAGTTTCCATGCCTTTTACTTGGTTCATAGAGTGGTTATGCTTTAAACAAGCTTTCTTCTGACTTTGTGGATGGAGTGTGATCAGAGGGAACAAGTTAGAGGCTCAAGAATGGACTTTATGCAAAAAGCTTGCTTTACAAGAATGACAATGTTAACTTTGTGCCATTAATGGAAATACAACTTAGATAATAGCTCAATTGCTTAGATCAAAGCCCTAACAGATGTGTAAACATTTAATTAGGGAGTGACAAACAAGTTTGAGGCCTGAAAAGCAAAGATTATGCATCCTAACATGAATTTGGTTCATGTGTTCATCAAAAAGTGACTTGTAATTCAAGTGATAAAACCCTAACTTCATCTCTTCGATTCTCCCTACTCAAGAATGATATCAAGGAGTTCTTAGATATTCTGGAAAGCTTGAAATGTGATATAGAATCCATCTTTGAATTGCTTTTGAAGATTCCCCTTGGAACTATATGAAAAAGTGCCATGAAGTTGGGTCAAAATCCTGACCAAATTAGGGCAAAATTTCATCAAGTGTTTAGTTTCATGACCACATGTTCATAAAATTATAACTTGAGACCTAAGCATTTTTGGAAGGAGTTGTGTAAAGAAAAGTTGTAGATTTCATGGAGATCTACAACTTTCATGTTGGAAATTTCTCTTGAATCATCTTGCATCATGGTGAAAATTTGGCTCAAAGTTATGAAAAACATGAAATTTCCAACACTTAGAAAAATATTTAAGTTTAGAAATTTTGACTTTTCAAAATGAAATCTTGACTTTTTGATTTCTTGATGAATAAGTTTCATATTTTGACATGTTTTGATGAATTATGATCTTTGGCACTTGAATTTAACCAAAAAGTTAAAGTTTGACTTTTCAGTATACAATTGACTTTTGATCAGTTGATTGAAAAATTCATCTGTCAATCCAATGGACTTGCAATGTTTTGAACCATGTCATTAGGTAAAAATGATGAAATGGACTCTTTAGATAATTCCTTAAACCAATTGATCATTTGCTAGGTAAAAAATCAGAAATTGCCCTTTCCCAGTCAAAACCCTAATTTTGACCATTTTGCCCTTTTGGAGATTTGATCAAATTTCTTGAGGAGTTGTGGTCCAAACTTGATCAAGTGATACATACGAGTTTAAAATGTTGATGTGGATAAAAAATTATGAAGTTTGACTGTAAATTGGCCATGGTTGACTTTACCTAATACAACTGATTTTTAGGTCAACTGCTCAATTGACTGATCAAAAATGTAATCCAAGGCTTGAAACTTGACATGAGTAATCTTGGGGCTTCATAATGATCCACTAAAGTCATATGGGGTATTAGAAGCTCAAAAATCCTTGTGCAATCCCAAACCCTAATTTTGGTCATCAGTGCTTAAGGAGGTGCTTTGAGCTGATCAAACCCTAGTGCAGTCTTGAGCCCAAGGAGATCTTGTGAGAAAATTCTTGATAAGTGAGAGGGAAAATTTTGGGGTACAATAATGAGCATGTGTTATGGGCAAAGCACACAATACTAACAACGCTTGATCTTCATCCTCAATTTTGGCATTAATATTTTCAAGATCAAGAATCAACTTGTTGAACATATCCAACTGCTCCGACAGGACTTGGCCTTTCACTCATATAGAATGAATACAGAGCTTGCTTCAGGTAGAGGCGATTGCCAAATGATTTGGCCATGCACAAACTTTCGAGTTTCTTCTATAGACCCGACATCGTCGTCTCCTTCGACACCTGTCGAAGAACCTTATCACCAAGGCTCATAAGATGACAACATGATCTTTCTCTACCAAAGCCATATTTTCTTTATCCTTCAACGCAACATCCATGGTTGCGGTTCCCTTCAACGCTTCTAAACAACCCTGTTGAACTAGTTAAGCTTTCATCTTCAAGCGCCACATACCGAAATTGTTCACTCTAGTGAAATTTTTAATCTCATAATTTTTTGACGACATCTTCTTCACGTTCACCACACCAATTTGTTGTGAAAACGATGTCAAGAACAAAGTATAACATGTTTCTTTAAGGCAAGAAATTCACAAGGTAGGAATGAGGAAAGCAAGAAGAACACAAGAAATTGATTATTAACTGATATTCTTTACTTTCTCTTTGAAACAAGATTATAAGTGATAGAATAATAAATAACCCTCTCAGCCTAATTAAAATTTGCAGTATACAATGATGAGAGATTAATATGCTATTTATAAGAAACCTAACATACTAAATTAATGAGCTTTTACACACAGACCCATTACAAGCTAACTTAGGAAACAAGCTAACCTAAACAATTGGGCATAACAAACAAGTCTAATTCGACATGCTAATAAACCTAACATTTCGACTACAACATGTGAGTAAACTTCGACTGCATATTTGAACCTTGTCGAACCAATAAACTTTTCCTACCGACATCTCGACACTAAAGTTTCAATCAAATAATTTTCACACATTCAAATTTATTATTCAATCCACTTTTGCTTAATTTATCCAAATTTAAACCACTTTACATTCAAATCGCTTATAATTTATGAAATTAATTTTTTTCACCACAAAACTAAAACAACCAAGTATCATCATATTTTATTTGATCCAATAGTGAAATTAATTAACTTATCAAATAATAAAAAGTTACTTGTGCAAGATACAAAAGTTATCTCATTTGTATATCAAAGAACTATCCATTTCTAAACCTTGTTTTTGACATTATTACTTAACAACAATTGGAAACTAGTAATGAAGAATGCTAGTTCAAACATGATTTTTATTATAAATACAAAGTCTAGATAGATGGAGTAAGTAACTATGAATGAAGTGTTATTATGGTAGACATAAAGAAAAAATAATTCCATAACGACCAAACCGAAAAAAGTTGTCTCATTGATTATTGTTATTGTAAACCCAAACACAAAACACAAACAACATAAGAAGTATCGCCTTCTCCCACTATTCATTCATTCATATTTGGCTTTTTCTTCTCTCAAACCCCAATCTCATTCATTCATTCCTCTTATTACTACTACCAACAATAACAACTCCCTCTTTCTTTTCCCTTCATTGACGATCTCCACGAAGCTAGAGAGCCCTTATAATTTCAACAACCCTTTCTCTTTCTATCACCCATTTTTCCTCTTTCTCTTTCTCTCTCTCCTTGGTTTTGGATCTTCAATTTCTCATTCACTGGTAATTTTCTATTACTCTTTTCTTCAATTGTAATGTTGATTTTTCTTTTATTCAATCCTAGGAACATGTTTCATGGGTTGTTCATGAATGAATGTATGAATGAATGAATGTATGAATGACCCTTTTTTGAATTATGTGAATCTCTTAATTCTTACTTAATGTTACTCTATGTTTTTTTTATCGAAATTAAGCTTATTTTAGTTAATGGGTTTGTTAAAAGTTTTCATTTTGACGTTTGGATCGATGTAAAGTTTTGTTTTTTCACTCCTATTTGTGATTCGCTTTCTGGGTTTTGTTGTTTTTGTGTAATTTTTCGTTAAAGTGTAGTTTTTTATGATTTATTTATTTAGATACTGTTGGTGATCTTTTTTTCTTCTTCTGGGTTTTTAGATTTTGGTGATTTGAGGAATTGAGATTGAAGGACTGTGTTGAGGAACTATGGCTTCCTCTTCTGCGACTCTTGCTGGTTCTACTGCTTCTGATCTTTTCAGGAGTTCGACTACTGGTTTCAATGGTGTTCCTTTGAGAACCTTGGGAAGGGCAGGGTTGGTTTTGAAAAGAAGGGATTTAACTGTTAGTGTTACTGCGAAGTTGGGAAAGTGGAAGAAGCCTGAATTTCCATGGTCTGGTAAACCTGATCCCAATGTTAAAGCTAGGGAGCCGGGACGTTTCTCATCTTTCACACCACTCAAACAGAAGCCAAAGCCGGTTATTTTGGAGTTTGAAAAGCCTCTTATTGATCTGCAAAAGAAGATCATTGATGTAAGTTCTAATTTGTGTTTGAAAAAACGGCCTCCGGCCCTGAAAACGGCCGCGACAAACGGTTTTGGCAGATGCCGTTACCGATACCATTATCATTTTTTTCTATATTGAAGAACAAATTGTGGTTAATTCACACCGCGACAACCACAATCAATGCTGCAACACTTGTACCAACCAAAATCGTGAAAGCCTTTACGCGACCGCGACCGTTTTTTAAAACCCTGTGTGTGTGGCTGTGTTCTTTGTTTATTTAGGTTAGAATGAATTGGGTATATAATATATGAATCTGATTCTTCAAGGTTGTGTTAATAGTAATGGTTTTTTATGGTTGAGAACAGGTTCGGAAGATGGCAGAAGAAACTGGTTTGGATTTCGGTGATCAGATTCTCGCATTGGAGGCTAAGTACCAGAAGGTTTGACTGTTATAACAATAATGTTTTATTCCCAAGAAAATTGGATTACTTGAATGACAATACTGACGATGAATACTAGATTGAATTATGTGCACAATCTTATTAGGTTTTGGATTGTGCCTGCTGTTGCAATTATGTCCCAATCTTTGTTATTGTAGCAAATTGCAGAATAAGGTGGTCGCAATTGCAGTCATACTGTGATTGCAAGCCTTGATGTTGCGGCCGCAATTGCAGTTGCAGACCGCATTTTAAAACGACTCACGGGCAGTGTTATCAAATAGCGGTGCCATGGCTGCTATGGCGGATATACGTGGCAGTTTTTGGGCTCGCTGCAATGGTAAATATCGGTCAATATTGCGGATTTTTCCGCCATAATCCACTATAACAGCGCCACAAAGCAGCCGGTATGGCGGAATTTTGGCTCTCTGCAGTGGACTGCCATCCGCTGTCGACAACACTGCTCATGAGAAAGTTGTGACTATACTGCTCTGATTGTTGCTTGCAAGAATGAATCTCTGTCTTATTTTAGCACATGTTGGTTCAGTATGTCATAAACAAATTAGTAGAGCTTAACTTTTATTGATCCTCACAATTTCCTTGTTACAAATCCTATATTCCAATTGGCTTTTTAGTTGCTTATCTTATATACTTTGTTTTTGAAATACAAATTATCTATTTAAGCAATTGGATGCACTTTTTGCTTGTAGTTCGCCGGATAATATTTTTCTTTATATATAGGTGACTAAAGCTGAAGAGTGTTATTGTGTTTTCATGTTGTGTCGGTATTAGTTAGTGTTATTGACTTGGGCCTGTGTAAACCGCACATTAACTTTACCTATATTATCAGTTTACCTATTTCATTGTTTAAAAATATACTCTGTCATTCCCTCCTAGTCTCTAAAATTTCACTGGTAAAATTCTCATGTTTTCACTGTTTCCATTGCTATTTCAGGCTTTGAAGAATCTATATACACATCTAACTCCTATACAGCGGGTCAACATTGCACGGCATCCTAACAGGCCTACTTTCCTTGATCACGTCTTTAACATAACTGAAAAGGTCTACTAAATATTACTTGATGTTTGCACTTTTTTGATTAAATATATAATTTATTGCATTCTTATATTTTAATCGGTTGATAATATTGAACTGCTACCGTTAATAGAATTCTCATCTAAATCATTCCTCTCTTGTTTCAGTTTATAGAACTCCATGGTGATCGTGGAGGTTATGATGATCCTGCTATTGTCACTGGTCTAGGTTCTATAGATGGTAGAACCTACATGTTCGTCGGCCACCAAAAAGGTAGAAATACTAAAGAAAATATAAAGCGGAACTTTGGGATGCCAACTCCACACGGGTATGTTTGTTTTCATTAGAACTCCACACGAACTTGGATAATTTGATTAAGTTTACATGCTGTCAAATTTCTCCACATTTGGCACTTATGGATGGTAAATTTCCAAATCAAACAGTTATAGGAAAGCTCTGCGCTTAATGGAATATGCAGATCATCACGGGTTCCCGATTGTTACTTTCATTGACACCCCTGGGGCATATGCTGACCTCAAATGCGAGGAACTTGGCCAAGTATGTTGATAGTTATGCTTTATTATACATTGGCATCCATTCTATTGTTATTATGTTAATCCGTTTGATTGACTTTCATGCATGCAGGGTGAAGCAATTGCTCATAATCTGAGATCCATGTTTGGTCTGAAGGTGCCAGTTATTACCATAATTATTGGGGAAGGTGGATCTGGCGGTGCCCTTGCCATTGGATGTGGTAATAAAGTACTCATGCTTGAAAATTCAGTGTTCTATGTTGCCAGGTGATTAAATTTTTACTTCCGTTATTTGCAAGTTTTATAATGTTTATATTAATTTCTTTAATCGCCGCTTCTCTCTTTTCCTCTCTTCAATAGTGCATGTTAGATGAATCTTCTAGAACTTCTTTGTAAATAATGTCTGCTTTACAAATTATCTATGGCTAACTCTGTCGCACTGACACATCATATTGGAGACGTGTTTTGTGGCCAACACTGACACAACCACGCCTCATTTTTCTGAATTTTTTTTCTCAAACTTTGACGTGTTAGCGTAAAAGTTGTGTCCAATGTCCGTATTTGTGCTTCATAGGTGGCTAAAGATTTTCATGGTTACTTGAGTTATTTCTAGTCATATACCAATTGAAAATGTTTTGATCTGTTCTACTAGTTTAACCTTTATTTATTACATGATATAGTCCAGAAGCATGTGCTGCAATCTTGTGGAAGACTGCTAAAGCTGCTCCAAAGGTATATATATACAAAATTGATACTTGAATGTTTCAGTTTGCAATTTATTTATTCAATTATGTATTTTATCCTTACAGGCTGCTAGGAAACTGAAGATTACAGCACGTGAATTGTGCAAATTGCAAGTTGCAGATGGCATTATACCAGTAATAGTCTTATTAATTATGTCTTTTGCTCTCAAATCTTATTTGTAACAAGTATTTCAGTGCTGAGGCAAATTCGCCGAACCTTCTAACTCCTGCTTTGATTTGTAATTTGTTCTAGCTCTGCAGTTTCCTTTTCTAAGTAGAATTTCCTTTTCTTTTCAATAGGAGCCGCTCGGTGGTGCACATGTTGATCCCAGTTGGACCTCTCAACAGATTAAAAATGCAATCAATAAAGCTATGGATGTAAGTTTTACTTTTATGATGAGTTCTACCGAAATAAAAATGTTGAAGAATATTCTGATATGAAACCCTGGCTTGTTCATTGTGTAGGAGCTCACCAAGTTGAGCACAGAAGACCTATTAAAAGACCGCATGCTTAAGTTCCGGAAAATCGGTGGGGTCCGGGAAGGAATTGCTAAAGATCCCAAAAAGAAAATCAACATGAAAAAGAGCGATATACCTGTTCCGCCAAAGAAAATGAGGGTTTTACCTGATCTGCCGAAGATTTCTGATTCTGAAATAGAGGTTGAAATTGAGAAACTGAAAAAAATAATTTCGGAAGGTAAGGACTCCTCTTCTGCGCCTTCAAAACTCAATCTGGATAAGACAATAAAGAAACTGGAAAGGGAGGTTGGTCATGAATTTTCTGAGGCCGTTAAAGCCATGGGCTTAACGGAAAGGTTGTCGAAACTACGGGATGAAATTGCAAAAGCAAGTTCAGGTAACCAACCTTCGAATCCATTGCTGAAGGACAAGATAGAAAAATTTAGCGCAAGTTTTAAGAAAGGGTTATCAGCGGCTCCTAATTCCCGCAAGCTTCAGAAGAAGCAGGACTTGTTGAGAGAATTGACTAAAGTGAAGCTTTTGTTGGATAAAAACAAGGAGGCTGCAACACTTAAGCCAGAACTGAAGAAAAAATTTGAGGTTGTCATCAATAATCCTAGACTAAAGGAAAACTATGAGGCATTACAGTCTGAAATCAAGCGTGCTGGCGCATCCTCAGGAGGCGAATTGGATGATGAGCTGAAGAAGAAAGTCATTGAGTTCAATAAGGAGGTAGACTTGCAGCTGGTTAATACTGTGAAGTCAGTAGGGTTAGATGTTGAGTTTGTGAAACCAGTCGGTGGCGGAGACTTGGTCAAAGAGATAAAAGAACTAAACAAATATATCCAAAAGGAAATTGAAACCGCAGTAAACTCGTCGACGGATATTAAGAAACTGATAGAGCAATATAAACGGGAGGTTGCCAAGACTGGAGGGAAACCGGATTCTGAATCGAAGGAAATAATTGATTCTTTGACTCAACAGATTAAGAAGAGCCTTGCTGAGACTATTAAATCTCCTAGCCTGAAAGAGAAGTATGAAAGCCTGAAAGAGAAGTATGAAAGCCTGACTCGTCCGGCAGGAGAAAGTCTCACTGATGACCAATTGAGAGAGAAAGTTGGTGCAAATCGCAACGTTTCGTAATGTGAGTTCAACTAATCTACACAATAAAAGCTATTAATATTATATATAACTTCATCTGCATTAACCACTTAAAAAGTTTTCGTGAAACTTTATTAAAATTGGTTGTTGAAGAATCAGTTCTCTTTGAAAATTGACCCTTCCCAATATGATTTTTGTGAAATATCTCTTTTTTGTCAGAGGCTGCTGCTCATGTGAAGCTGGTGAAGATGGTGCTGAGAGTGGAAACTGCATCAGTCATCAGTGTCTTCCTGATGATATATTTTACCAATATCTTCTTCCAGTTGTGCATGATGGCCGATATTTGTTAGAAACATGCTTTAAAGAATTAAAGGAGATACCGGGCGAATTGTGGCTGATATTTTTCAATTGTCTAGACTACAAGCGCGAATAAAACATAAAACCATTTTGTATTTGTTTGAGTTAGAATGTTGCAGTTTTTAGAATGACTTGCTTTATTTACATCTTTTTTCTTCCCTCAAGTGTTTTCGCCGAATAGAATAGATGAACATTGTATAAATTATTGGTGTTTGAAGAACATAATAAATAACACGATGCTGTGGTGTTTGAATGTCTTATTTGCAAGAATGACTGGTCTGGTTAATTTTGATGTGCACGCTTAGATTGTCTTACTTTTATGGTTTTGCAACAATTTCTTGATTACATCACTTTTTTACAAGTGATGTTGAATATCTTTCATTTAGGGTGTTTAACCTGTTAATAGAGCACAACATCAGCAAAAAATCTCCAGCTCTATGGAGAGCACAGACAATCCTGCATAATCACAAACTATGCAGATTGGATTTCCTAAACCTGACTTTCTGCATAACTCAATTGATTCCTGTTCATCTGGACAATGCAAAATTCATAAAACATATATTCCAACTGGTATGAAAACTGCAAGATGATACTTCAACCCGATCGACCTCCAAGACACTAATTATAAGACATCGTTGAACTGTTCGCACGAGTATGACACACGTATTTGTTTTTAAAATTATAATAAAAATGAAATGAAATAAAACAAAATTGATTAGTTAATTTTTTTTAAAAATATTTATATTGGATCATTTATAGCAAAAAGGTGAACAAAAATAATTATTTTAATTTAGTGTTTTAAAAATTGATAAGTTATGATTTATTCTGTTTTGGACTAGGCTTGTCCTTGACCCAACTCCATGTGAGGTCCAATCCAATTATGTCGTTCAAGGTATGCTGGCCAGTTCTGCGCTCAACTGTGTCGGGCAGCAACTTCCACTCTCTGTAAGGAGACAATCTCACCGCACGGGGACAAACCCCAGTTACTCTTAGGAAGATCACCTTCGGTCAGGAGGACCTCGAGGTCACGCTCCAATTTTTTTCTCGACCAAGACTGATCCTCTCACACGACCTCATGTCTGGCGGGGAGCATCCACGACGAGCAGAAGCCCCTCACGAACATCCTCATCGTAGGACTGATTGTGACATCTTTGAATATCACAGAGTCTTCGTGGTCCCGGAAAGACCGCATCCATATCCTCCTGATCTTGTGGAGGAAGCCATCCAGATGGGGAACCACGTGCGGGTCCCCACTACTCACGTAGGACCTGGAAATCTCCACGTTGGGCCTGCTTGACCAGCCCAATGAGGAGACCTTGGTCCAACGCTGGGGGCTATAAATACCCTATCTTTCGAGAGGGTATGTATTGAACATTTCTTACTCTCTTGGTTGCTTGCGCATTCCGAAACTTACTTTGGCATCAAAGTGTCTTGTAGGTACCTCCCACCTCACTCTCAAATTCTGCTCGGAGCAAGCTGTGACGGTCCATTATGATCAGGTACGAGAAGTGGCGCCGTCTGTCAGAAACTTGCTTCCTCGTCTTCCATTCACACAAGACAAAAGCTAATTGCACTCATCTCTGACTGTCATGGATGATCAAACAGCAGAAAATAACATGAATGTTTGTCTCGCCGATGCCAACAATAACGTCACTGACAATAATGCTGGCGTCAATAACGATGGTCCTACTGGCCACAACACTGGCCCCACCATTGACATGCCCGGCCCATCAGAATGCAGAGACGGAGCGACTGCCTCATCGTCATCACTGCCTCGACGAATCGAAGACGATCAGCCTCCTCCTCGGAACTACCAACTGAACCAGTTCCAGGAGGTCTGTGTGCCTGCTGGAGCAGATGCCACGACCATGGCACTGTTCGCGGCGATAAACCAAACGAACTACCTGATCTTCTCTCAAGGGGAGAGACTGAGGGCACTCAAAGATTCTTAGAGAGCCCTTAGAAGAAACAGGAGGCCTGATTCTCCTCCTCCTTGACAGACAGAGGACCGTCCCCAATCTCCCTCATGGAGACGCAGACGGGATGCCTCTAGAAGCCCTTCCCCTCGACCAATCGGGCAGCGCCCCGCGTTGGAGAGGGAGAAGCCCGTAGACACGGGGAGACGTGATCACGTCCCCCTGTGTCAAGAGCAAAGACCCCTTGGAAACAGGAATGAGGGGAATAACGAACGACCATACCGCCCGAGGAACCCTCCATGCGACCAGGATCACCATCATAACCGCCACTACAACAGATCTCCTTCTCGCTCGCCAGACAGAAGTGACGTAGACGACCCCCGCGGTCCCTTGTCACAAGCTATTATGGAGGCACCCCATTCCCCCGGGAATGGAGAAACCTTCCCATCTGAAGGAGTACAACGGTGTTGCCGACCCAGTCGACCATATCGACGGGTTCGAGGCAATGCTGCATTATTATAACATCGGGGGACCGATCAAATGCTGGTTATTCCCCACGACTTTGAGGAAAGCTGCGATGGATTGGTACAAGAGCCTCGCCCCGGGGTCAATCACCTCCTGGCAAAATTTAAAAAACTAGTTCATCGGTTCATTTACTGCCTCACGTTGACATCCAAAGACTGAAGTAGCCCTCGAGGCTATCATCCAGAGACACGACGAGACCCTCAGGCAATTTATTAGTCGGTTCAACCGCGAGGCCATCCAGGTCCCTTGCACCGATCATATGAAGAGATACATGCTCGAGAGGGGACTCCTCTCGGGCACAAAGTTCAAAAAAGTCGTTGGCATCGAACCACCGCGGATATTCGATGCCCTCCTCGAGAAAGCCAGAGCCTATATGGACTATGAGGAGAGGGAAGCGGCCAATAGAAACTGGGACCTAAGGAATCATGGGTCAACCAGGAATCCGCGACAATAAGATTCTGGCCCTTCTCGATGAACTAGCAAAAAGAGGAGGGAGGACAAACCCCGAGATCCTCGCGAGCAAAGAGGACCCTCGGGGTGCTTCACCGAGTACACTCCGCTGACAGCTTCCCGCGAGTGCATCTTGGCAGAGTGTGCTAACACTGATTTCAAGTACGGCGGCGTCAAGCGTCCTCGCTCCGCTCATGCTAAGCCCGGGGTTGATCAGAGTAAATACTGCCAATATCATCGAAGTCATGGAAACCTGATTGAAGACTGTGTTCATCTCAAATATGCTATTGAGACCCTCATTAAAGGGGGAAGACTCGGGAAATATAGGTGCGGAGACACCCCCCGTCGAGATGCCCGCGACACAAAGGAGATTGAAGAGGATGCCCGACCATCAGATGAGACGGTCCCCATCCAGACAACATTCTCTGTTATAAGACCAGAGGACTTCTATGTCCCCGACTATATCGAAGAGCCTCTGTCCATGCACAGTAGGTGGGAAAGCTTCCCCTCCGCCATGGTCATAAATGGTGGGGGGGTTCAATGATATAACTATAAACTCCACGAAGAGGAAACAGGACGACCTGGTCGACGCACCCCTGCAAACAGTGACGTTCGATAGAGTTAAGGGTAAATCAGAGTCGATTACCTTTTACCTTGAAGAATTGCTCGGAGGGGCTCCTAACTCAGCCATCCCTCTTCTGGTTAGGGCGAGAGTGGCCAACTTTGACGTTCACCGCATTTTGGTCGACGAAGGAAGTTCCGTCGACGTGATGTATAACCAGCTCTTCCGAACCTTGTAGCTCGATGACTCTCACCTTTCACCATACGTGGGGTCCGACTTGCAGGGCTTTAACGACTCAACCTCCAAACTGTAGGGGTATGTGGAACTCTTCGTCACCTTCGGCGAGGATACCGCCACCAGGCAAGTCAAGGTGCAATTTCTGATCATCGACTGCCTGTCTCTCTACAATTGTATCCTAGGGAGACCGACATTGGCAGAGTTGACCGCTATTCCCTCTATCATCCATCTGAAGATGAAATTCTACACGAGGAGGGGGCGCGTCGCCACCATCCAGGGCGACCTAGCAGCTGCCCGAAGTTGCTTCAACACGACGGCCAAGGGAAAAAGCACGGTCGACACTAGAACACGACCCGCCAAGAAAGTTGCTACGGAACGACCAGAGCCACAACAACCAGGGCCACAACCCGTCAAGATATAAGAACAGAGGGATCTTCCAAAGGTTGACTCAATCTCATTGGATACCCACTTCGACCAAGATAAAGCACCCAACGGCGAGCAGGGACTCCTCCGACCAATTCCAGATGGAGACTTTGAGCTAGTCCTCCTCGGTGAAGACCCGCACAAAGGGGTGAAGATCGGCACCGGACTCCCCAACCTGGAAAGGAAAGCAGATCAAGCCTTGCTTGAGGGAAAACGCAGATTTATTCGCGTGGAGCACTGTAGAGACTAAGTCGTGGTTAATATAAATTTTTCGCGAGGGTGTCATTGAAATCATCTTGAAGAGACTAAACGAATGACACAAGTCTGAGCTCTTGATTTTACAGTTTATGAAACCTACAATTCGGGCGTGGCTGGAGGTTGAAGATAATCAGCGTGTCATCTCTCAACCAATGACATGGTGCCACACATTTTTTTCAAATATGTTTTTAATTAATGGTCCAGTGGTTTATTCACTAATGACCATGATATGCACAACACGCCAGATTCCTTGGATTTGATTACTAATGCATTTTGACATTGATCCAATGGTCTATCTCTAATTGGTTTTGTTT